GGGGGGGTGGAGTTGAGTGAGCAGCCAGGGGGCTGTTTCTTCGTTGTTGTGTTGGGCCTAAACCACAAAATACAGCTGTGATGAAAACTTTGAGTTGCCAGGACACCTGATGGGAAATGGCATCAGGAAGCTGCTGAGAGCCAGAGAGGACAGATGGTTTTTAATGTAACTTACCCTCACAATTTCGTAGCCTTCCAGACAGGTCACCTTCACATTGTCCTGGAAGATATACCTGTCTTTCTTTGGGTCAAGAACAGAGTTGGGGATGACACTTGGAGGACAGCTTACAGCTTTGAAGACATAGGCAAAAAGCAGTGATTACCTAGTTCAATATTTATTTTCCATCCAGTTCCCAACTTCTCTCTCCCCAGTGATTATTATCCCCAGGCATCCTCTATTTACTTAATACTGTCAACATGTTAACATCCTATTTGATCATTAATCTGACCTGGGACAAGGTCTCTTCCTAATGCAGCAGCAAAGGGAATGGTTTCCCAAGTGTTTACTCACGATCCCCATGGTAGCGTATTTTCCAGCCTTTATGCTGTACTGCATGGTCTGTCTGGAAGATGATGTCAAGAATGTTGTTCCTTGTTTTGATCTCAGGAGGACCTGGGAATGTGCTGCCACAATAGGGACCAAAACGCTGCTCTCCAGAAACAATCTGGGAAAATAACACACAAGAAGAAATGAGAAATACCAAATGAGAGAGATATTCCCAAGAATTTCACATGGCAACATAGTGGAAAAGAAAACTAAGTAGTCTGGGGGTATTCTATGTATCATAGAGTGGTTTGGGTTGGAAGGGACCTTAAAGATAATCTAGTTTCAACGCCCCTGCATGGGCAGGGACACCTCCCACTACACCAGGTTGATCAGAGCCCCATCCAACCTGCCCTTCAACACTCCCAGGGACTGGACATCCACAGCCTCCCTGGGCAACCTGTGCCAGTGTCTCACCACCCTCACACTAAAGAGTTTCTTCCTAATACCTAAGCTTAACTATCCTCTTTTCCAATTTAAAACTATCACCCCTTATCCTCTCACTACAAGCATTTGTAAAAAGCCTTTCCTGTAGCCCCTTCAGGCACAGGAAGGCTGCTGTGAGGTCTCCCTGGAGCCTTCTCTTCTCCAGGCTGAACAACCCCAGCTCTCTCAGCCTGTCTTCACAGCAGAGGTGCTCCAGCCCTCTGATCATCTTTGTGGCCCTGCTCTGGACTTGCTCCAGGAGCTCCATGTCCTTCTTGTGCTGGGGGCTGTACACAGCACTCCAGGTGGGGTTTCATGAGAGTAGAGGAGCAGAATCACCTCCCTTGACCTGCTGGCCACGCTTCTTTGGATGCAGCCCAGGACACGTTTGGCTTTCTGGGCTGCAGGTGCACATTGCTGGCTCATGTTGGGCTTCTCATCACCCAACACCCCCAAGGCTCCTCCTGTGAGGAGATAGAGGGGAGATCCAGAGCACCCTGACCCTCTCCCATCCCCACACCTACTGTTAAGCTGTCGTGGCAGCTCCCTGCTGAGTCGGCTGGTTCCACGTCAAAGTCCCCATTGCGTATGGTCAGTGCCACGAAGTAGCCTGGGACAAGAGCCACGCGGTACTCACACTGGGAGTTCTCTGGGTACTGGTTGGGATAGTTGGGGCTGGAAATCTCCCCTGATGGCTCAGTGAAGACATTTCCACTGCAATTCACTAGGATTAGGGAAGGAACACAGGTAGGGTTCAGAAATAAAATGGTCCAAAGCTGACAAGTTTTCCCTCTTCCACTACATCTCCAGTCTCCCCAGTCACTGGCACTAACCATGGCACAACATTGCGTCTTTTCAAGAAGCTGAAACTAGGGCCACTCTCTATCCAATTTGCCAAGGACTTTAACTTCTAGTGGCCTAAGCTACCTTGCACTCTTGCCCATCCTTTGGGCAACTTCCTGATGTCCTAAGCACTATGGGACAGCTTCAGCACATCTTTAATTGTGCTCAGTCTCATTTAATTTCTCTTAGTGTCCTCTGTTCCTCCACCTTTCTTTCTACCTTCTACCTGAGATTTAGGCCTTCTTCCCTCAGGCTCAGGTCTTGAAATTATAAAATATACCCCCTGCAATATGCACCAATTGTGACTTCCCATGTTTTTTTTTATTCTAGTCAAGCAGACCCTTGGCCATTTTTGTGTCTTCATTGGACTGTCCTATTTTGTCAGAGATTAAAAGATTCACAGATAGCAGTATGCTAAGGAAGGTCTCCATCACTGCCTTTAGAGAATGTAATTTAATAATATCTTAATTTCCTTTACACAAAAACAAGAATGTAAAGAAAGTTGATAGAGAAGGTCTTCCATGTACAATACCTCAGTTGACCACAGCTCATGTAGATCTCTTACCTCCACATGTTTTGTTATCCTCATAGAGGAAATAAGTTGGTGGGCATGAACAGAAGTAACCTCCAATGTAATTATTACAGTAATGACTGCAAGGTTCCTCCACAAATTCCGTGCACTCGTCCACATCTGCAGGTGGGAAAAGATTAATAAACCAAGATTGGCTAATGGGCCAAGAGAAAGGGCCCTAAGGGCAGGAGGAAGATGAGAAAGGGAAGCAAATACTGGTGAACAACAAGGAAAAGGTATCTCTAAGACAGACTGGCCATACTGGAAAGCAGTCCTGTCTGCTGGTATCTCTTGAATAAAGCATTCTTGTAAGGAAAACCTTTCTGTCAGTTTTCCACCACATCCCTCCAGCCTGGACAGCACAGAGATTCAGAGGAGGCTATTTTAAACTTACCCACTGCAACATAGTAGGCTGCAAATCCAGTGAAGTGCTCCTCATTGGAAAAGTCTGATTGGAAGCTCACAGTGAGGGTGTTATAAGGGACATGAAATTCCTCCACAATCAAGGAGCCAGGGGACCGAGGTTCCTTCCGCCCACAAAACACACCTTCAACATGCCCATCCAACAGGACCTGCAGGATAATGCAGAGAGATCTTCTCTCATTACTGGAATATGTCTAGCTACCACCACTTGAGTCCTTCAGCTTATGGGTGAAGGCTCCAACAAAAGGCTCCTCAGTAGCCTGCATTTCTCAAGGTGTTCAGGTAGGTGTCTCAGGGCACAGCTGTGTCACACAGCTAGCAGGAGAGACTGAGGCTGCTGTGCAATCCACCCAGCTGGACAAGGGTGGAAGACAGTCAGCCAAAGGTACAGCTGAACAGAACCCCAAGGCAACTAGTTTCATGACATTTGTAAGATGCTTGAGTGTTTTTCCCTCCTACTGCCTTCATCTTAATTTCTCAGATACAAATTAATCCAGAAAGTTCTCTGTTAACATCCTTTCCTCAGGCCTTCTTATACCAAAAAAAAAACAACCACAAAAACCCAAAAATTTAACTATGTGTTTCAAAATGGCAAAACCAATAGCTGATGATCTGCAGGTCAGTCTAACAAGTTAATCAGTTTGTTGCGAAAGGGCACATATTACTACAGCTCCTAGCAGAGCACATACATCCTACTGTCCCACTTTGGTCCTTTTCCAAGGTGTCCTTCTGGTGCTGCACCTGATCTTACTGCCCCTTTTCATATATAGGTATTGCAGGATAGGATCATCTTGTTTCTTCCTGCCTGTGTGGCAATGCTTGATCTTTTGTGCCTTGTGGGACACCATGGAGCAGGGCTAGTGAGTCTTTCAGTTTCAAGAAAGCTGTGGTACAGAGAACACAGAAAACTGCAGTGCAATGGACCACAGCACTTTATCTAGGTGCCCATTATCCATACACAAATCTCTTGGTTGTTTTTAACCCTCATCATTTCCAATCAATTTGTGATTGCATTCAATTGTTCATGTCCACTCATGGATTAATTCTGAATTATTTCAGGGACAGAAAATCAATGCCCTAAGAAAACGGTCCTTTTGTGCCTACTAGCTAAGGAGTGAGTGATGGCTAAGAAGGCTTTTCCTAGGAATATAGGAGAAACATGGGGAAGAAGACATAGATGGGACATTCACTTAGTGGGCAATGCTCATGTGGTTATGATGCAACTCAAGTCGATTTAGTAGCTGCAGATACACTCAGTCATTCAGGATTCTTGGACCTCAGAAGAGAACGGACGTGTCTATCTCCTTTTCCATCCCTGAGCTTTGTCTTCAAAACTCTGTGCACAGCTTGGCTGTTCTGTGTGCTAACCTGCTTCTTGTCTTTTCCTCCCTGGAGGATGGGGACAGTACCTTGACAGAGTCGTATTCGCAGTTTTGCGACGGTTCGAGATCCATGTGTGTGAAATAAAGGTGAATGCCATAGCCAGGTGGGACCTGGATATCCCAAGACTCTTGCATGTCATTGGGATACACCTGAGGATAATTAGGTGACAAGATCTCACCATACATGGAGGCTGCATCAGCCCAGACAGGGAGACAGAAGAAGAGAAGGTACCTGAGGAAAGAGGAAGGGAGATGATGTTGCAGTGCTCTTCTCTGTGCAGGTAGGCACACAGCCCCTGGTGAAGAGGCATGGACACAGCATGGCTCCTGGCTTTGGAGCTGCAATGGCCAATGCTGCTGTGGCCATGTGAGGCCAGTCCTTCTCCTGTAGCCTTTCACACCTCAGCTGTGCTCTCTGCTCCTCTCCAGCTCTTTAGGAGCTGGGAATGCTGCAGGAGTTGAACAGAAGGGTCTTAGCTGCTATTCCCTACTTGGCTGCCTTGTTCTGGAGGGTACTTGGACTGCAGGTGCATTCAGATTTGAGAATCAGTACATACTACAGGAAAAACACCTGATTTATAAAATGAAATTATTAATAAAGCTAAGTTCCTCCTGGAGATTAAATAACTTACCACATCTGGGAAAAGCAGACCTTCCTTTCTGAAAGCTTCCAGGAATTGGACTTTGGAGTTATAATCTGGGACAAAAAAACAGTGTGATTGATTAATGCTGCCTGTGCTTCTGCATGTCTGCTGGGCAGGTCAAATACCCTAAAACTCCAGCTTGCAGTAGCTATGCCAACTTTTTGCCTCAAAAGCAAGTTTCTATCCCTGCTCCTTCCTGCATACAGCAACCTCATGCATCAAGAAGGGATGCTAGACTCCATACTAACAGAATGGAAAGATGATCTGTATCTTGGTACTCAACAGTGCTCACACCCTCCCCTTCTGACCACCAGTGTCTCCAAACACCATGCTGCTGCTGCACAGCAAATCAAGACAGCAAGCACCTCCACACCACGGTACCCAATCCATTCTACCCAGCACCTCAAAAATATCCTCACACCTTGGGACTGAGGAGCAGCTTGTCCTGACTGTACCAGCTGCCAGACAACGATGATCAGGAATGTTTTCCCTTCCCATTACTAACGCTTGACATATTTACCTTCTCTCCCTAGCTCGTCTCTGGTTTCTTTCTCTCTTCCCTTCTGTTTTCTCTCTTCCTCTTTTTCTTTTTTCTCCCTGTTCACACACTCCTCCAAAGCGACCAAAGGCTGAGGTCGGAGGAAACGAGCTCTAATTCGCAATATCGCAGCACCCTCTGCCTGTGGGATGCGGCTTTCCGGGCTCCGCGCCGATCGGCGGGGAAGCGGGGGGGAATTTCCAGAATAAATTGCACAATCCTGTTGGCCCAGGCTGCGCGGGGAATCGCACAGATCTGGTCTGCATTAAGCACTTTCGGGAAATCAGATGACTTTTGAGAAAAGGGAGGAGAACAGAGTTTTCGTCTACCTTCCCTCTTCTGCTTTCCCCCCTCCCCTTTAAAAGTTAGGGAAAAAATCCAAAGGGTGTAGAAAAAAGGAGAGTCTACACAAGAACTGGTCCAGTGCTTTTGCATGGAAAAAGCCTGTTTGATCATCCTGTCCAGAGACCACTATGCTGGACTCCACTTTGTTACTGCAACCTGGTGGCCTCAGGGCTGCTGCCACTGCTCCTCATCTGATGCTACAGACCCTTTTTTTTTTTGGTGGGGGGGAAGGAAAGTATCATGGCCTATTTAATGTTGTGCCTCTCTAAGGCTACCATCAAGAGTGAGAGTGCACTTTTTTTTTGCTAGGTTTTGTTATAGGAGGACTCCTGAAAGTAAGAATTTGTCTAACTCCTAACTACCAAGTGACCTTCATGTAAGAGAAACTGTTCATCAGTTAGCCCTGGAGCAAGTTAGATCTAAAACCCTTACAGAAACGAGTTTCAAGACTTATGCTAGGCAGGACCCTTAATCCAGCCAGTGTCCACAAGCAAAATATCACCATACAAGCTAAAAGACCTGGCACTAACACTCTAGAAAACCCCTTCTCACAAACCAGCAGCACTGGGACCAGACTCTAAATGAAAACGTAAAACTCCAATAGAACCTTTACCCTTGACAATCAGCACAGCATGATCCAGAGCTTCTTTTGGTCAGGAAAAAAAGGATTCAAGTATTAACAGGCCATTGGCAATGTGTGTTAGCAAAGCTCAGCTGTAGGACTCCTTTATATTGTCAAGGAGAGCAACACCTACAGATGAATCCTAACTGACTTAATTGTAGTCAGGATAAAGGCTTTACTTGAAGAAGATGCCTAGTCTGTTTTCTTTGTCAAACTGAGAATGAAGAGAGGAAGAAAACAACATGTCACCTCACTTTTGAAGTCTCTCAAGAGCACAGCTTGATGTTTCTAGCTGGAATTTTGAGAACAGGGAAAAAAAGCAATGAAAGATATACAAAAAATCAGGGAGATACACTTTCTCCTCCAAACTGGGCAAAGGAAAAGACTCTGTCAGTGTCTCTTGAAGTTACAATCATGTTTTAAAATGGACATGGCAGAAGCAAAATGAGTGTGGGCTGACATAATGTGCATGTCATTTCATCACAAGGGAGTTGTGTATTTTCATGCAACCTGTCACAACTTGTCTGTAGCAGTGGCAAATTAGGATGTGTGTGGATATTAGTAACTCTTTGGAAGCCATATACCTGTTAATAATTAAATAGCTAAGTAGTGTCTTTTAAAATTCACTGAAATAAGTCATTCACTGTCAGAAGTAATACTAAAACAGTAATTTAAAAGAGGCAAAAACCATGCCATTGAGGTTTATAACATTAAGGTTGCCAGTGCAATATAATCCTGCTCAGAAGCACACACTCTCTTAAATTCCTGAATTTCATGACCACATGCTAATTTTCCCAAATTGCATACTGCAAACTTTTTCTCAAGATGACTCACAGCTGTGTAGCTGTAAACCTTTCTGCCTGATGTTATGAAGAGCAGTAGCACTCCGGTTTACATAATATTACCCTCTAAAACAGGATTGACTGGCTCCAGGAAGTTGGCAGATTAAAAAGCTTTTCCCAGTTTATTAAGAAAAGCAACACTTTCCCATCCGGAAACACTGAGTCAGCGCCTAAAAACAAGGGGAGTAGATCTTAAAAGAGAGAACACAACATTAACTAGGTGAAATCCATCAGCAGGGAAACAAGGATAGGTAAGCAGCAAGTAAAATATCCTTGACTCACCAAGACCTTGGCAGCAATTTGCCATTTTTCCATTCTGCCAATAAGAGGATTCAGGGGGTTCCTTGCAGGTGACACTTCCCCGCCACACTCTTGTGACCAGGCTGGTTTAGTTGCCAGTGGTTGAATCTAGGGTAAGTTGCAGGAAAACCTGCTTCTGTATTGGCCCAGATTTGCTGGGTATAACCCACCAGTTTCTGCCACTGCACACCCCAGCAGGGAGGTTTTCACTGGAGTTTGTTCACCTCTTTTGCTCCCTCCAGCCCTGAGCTTGAGCGCAAAGCTCCCCCAGCCTCCCAGTAAAACCTTGGACTTGGAACCATTCTGCTGTGTGCCTTGGGCCATAGAATCATAGAATGGTTTGGGTTGGAGAGACTTATCATCTAGATCCAACCCCCCTGCCATGGACAGGGACGCCTCTCACTAGATCAGGTTGCTCAGAGCCCCATCCAGCCTGGCCTTGAACACTTCCAGGAATGGGGCATCCACAACTTCCCTGGGCAACCTGTGCCAGTGTCTCACCACCCTCACAGGAAATAATTTCTTCCTATTGCCTAACCAAACTCTCCCTTCTTCCTATTTAAAGCCATTCCCCCTTGTCCTCTCACTACAACCCCCTGTAAAAAGCCTCTCCACAGCTTTCCTGTAGCCCCCTCAGGCACTGGGAGGCTGCTGTGAGGTCTCCCTGGAGCCTTCTCTTCTCCAGACTGAACAGCCCCAGCTCTCTCAGCCTGTCTTCAGAGCAGAGGTGCTGCAGCCCTCTGATCATCTTTGTGGCCCTGTTCTGGACTTGCTGAAGGAGCTCCACATCCTTCTTGTGCTGGGGGCTCCAGACCTGGACACAGCACTCCAGGTGAGGTCTCCTGAGAGTGAAGGGGCTGAATCACCTCCCTTGACCTGCTGGCCACACTTCTGTTGATGCAGCCCAGGCCAGGGTTGGTTTCTCCCACACCGAGACGCCCACTGCTTTCCTGTACTCCCTGCCCCTGCTCCCCTGGGGGTTACAGTGGCTGTCAAGCACAGCCAATGCCTGCACGAGCAGCAGCACATTTCCCACAAAAAAAAGAAGCACTGCTCTCCTGTTTACACCCGTGGCGTTTTCCTGGCGGGTGAGAGGGCCTCTGAGATACCCTTCAGTGGGACAGGCGGTGCTGGGATCTCCCTGGGGATGCTCACCCTTGCTGCAGACACGGCCTCACCGGCAGTGGCTGAAGAGCAACCACCCCCAGCCAGCCCTGCGGGTCGTGCGAGGAACAAGCAGCCCCACGCGGGTCCTGCAGCCAAGCGCAGTTTATTTACACTCTGGCAAGAATGAGTGACCCAAACAAGCAGGCACACCCATAGCAAGGTGAATAACGGTTTATATTCCCTATTCCCAATGCAAAGTTCCCTGTTTCCCCACTGGCTGGATACTCCAGGGCTCACAGCCCATCCAACACTTCAAATTGTCCTATAAGTGTCCCACCCCTGGTTACACATTCCATTCTAGCAGTTTACTTTTTACCTTTTAAGGTACAATTTTGACCTTTCTTGCCCCCTTGGCTGCCTTCCCAATTAACAAACCTACTGGTGCCATCCTGCCCTGAGCAGCAAGATAGAAGTGGCTTTGTCAGGTCTGGTCTTGGCCATAAATCCTGCTCCATGTTCGGATCCCCCAGATGGAGCCCAATTCATTCCCTCAGTTTCTTGGACCATAAACCACCCCAGGTGTCCTTGGAATGTGCAGATATCTCACTTCTCTCTTAAACAAACTATTATATTCCTAACACTAGGGTATATATATATATGTAAACAAAACAATGTGCTTCTAACACTAGGATGTGAAAACAACACTAAACCCAATACTGTGCTTTTAATATAGGATGCAAAAAAAGACTACGTTTCATTTCTAACAGTCAGCAAGGTTGCCGCACCAGTGGGTGTGGTGTGGACAGGCTGGAAAGGAGGGCTGCCATCCAGAGGGGCCCTGACAGGCTGGAGAGATGGGCCCCTGCCAACCTTCTCATGTTCAGCAAGCTCAAGTGCAGGGTCCTGCACTGCAGTCAGGGCTGTCCCAAAGACAAATAGAGGTTGGGTGGAGGATGGATTGAGAACAGTCCACAGAAGGACTTGGGGGTGTTGGGTGACGAGAAGCTCAACATGAGCCAGCAATGTGCACCTGCAGCCCAGAAAGCCAAACATGTCCTGGGCTGCATCCAAAGAAGCGTGGCCAGCAGGTCAAGGGAGGTGATTCTGCTCCTCTACTCTCATGAAACCCCACCTGGAGTGCTGTGTACAGCCCCCAGCACAAGAAGGACATGGAGCTCCTGGAGCAAGTCCAGAGCAGGGCCACAAAGATGACCAGAGGGCTGGAGCACCTCTGCTGTGAAGACAATCTGAGAGAGTTGGGGCTGTTCAGCCTAGAGAAGTGAAGGCTCCAGGGAGACCTCATAGCAGCCTTCCAGTGCCTGAAGGGGCTACAGGAAAGGGGCTTTTTGCAAATGCTTGTAGTGAGAGGATAAGGGGTGATAGTTTTAAATTGGAAAAGGGGAGAATTAAACTTAGGTATTAGGAAGAAACTCTTTAGTGTGAGGGTGGTGAGACACTGGCACAGGTTGCCCAGGGAAGTTGTGGATGCCCAGTCCCTGGGAGTGTTGAAGGGCAGGTTGGATGGGGCTTTAAGCAACCTGGGTTAGTGGGAGTGAGAGCTTTCCATGGCAGTGGGGATGGGCCTTCATGATCTTTAAGGTCCCTTCCAACCCAAACTATTCTGTGATTCTATTTTGATTGTATGGTGTATGGGCACACTGAGTCCAAGCTCACCCACTGAAACCAGGAGACATGAACTGCAACTCCCTGATTTTGTTCAGGGAGGCCAGGGAAAAGAGCCGGCAATGTCTGAAAAACAAGCTCTAACATCAGGTTTATTTGTGCAGTAATTTCCACATCAAAAAGGTGAATGGTTTTCAAGCATACCGCTCCCTCCCCTTCTTACATGTCCTCCAAGTCATAGTCTCTCTAACTCTCTCTTTGTCATTCACCCATTATTCACTTTTTTTTCTCTTCTGGCTTCAAGGCCTCCTATTCAACCTTCTAATAAAAACTCACTTTCATGCGTTCCCTCATCTGTTACTCCAAGCAGCCATCCTTCTCCCTCCACACTCTATCTCTTGCTAGTGATTATTTCCCTACCCACCCCTCTGTGCTCTTCCCTTGACATAGTGATTCCCTGCTGCAGACTTCAGTTGGATTCAGATTTTATTCTGACTCTTACTTTTCCAGTATCTTCATCCTCCCTGGCAGTGTTCAACCCTAAACTACAGTCCCACCTGCCCTCCAGATGGTCAGCTTGCCCCTTGTAGCCTGCTCCTCTCTCACAGCCATTTCAGTCAGCACAGGCTCCTATGCCTGCCTGGGAGAACAGCCAGGGCAAGAGATTCCCATTTCAGTTCCTCAGTACAGAATAAATGGTCCTGGAAGGATAGCCCTATGAAAACTCTTGAAGAATCATCTGGGGTCTTGTGCAGCTGTCATCTGTGAGAAAGCTGCATGAACCACTGTAAAAAAATAATGGGGGGGGAAGATTCTGCAGAAGCTTCAGCAGCTGCCCTCCCATATTGCCACATTGAGTTCATGTGAACTTCAAGTTTCATACTGATACCTACAGAATGTCATGAAACCAGAGTGTATCTTGAGGAAAAGAAAGAAAGATTATTAGAAGAATAATAATACTGAAAAACAATGGTGCTCATCATGACCTGAATCTCAAAAGCAACTACTCTGACCCGGAGTGGCTGTCTAGCATTTAATCTAAACAAATATAGCAACTTTTCAAGCAAGTGAATAGAGAACCTCGCAATGGAAATTGTTAAGCAATCTCAGGAGCAGATGCTGCTTCCTAAACCCTCCTCTGACAATTGTACATTCCAGAATGAAGTAAGTATAAAAGTTCGTATGCACTCTTTCACTATAAACATAACTAACTGACCACAAATGTAATTAAGTACTACAGTACTTTTAACATTTATTTTACAAATTGTGGACATTTTCTAAAAGTTCTCATTGCATGTAAGCCATGTTTCATGGGTTTGTTTCCTGAGCTATTCCAGAACACAGAGGTCCTGGACTAGAACCTCCAGCTCACCCTTTTTCTGCAGCCCCAGGTTAGAGTTGTGGATGGACTGCTGAGGGTCTATGGGAGGACATAGGCTGAGAGAGACTCTGGTCCAAAGCAATTTTTGCTGCTACAAATATGGCCTCCAAAACCAGCCAGAGCATCTTGCCTTTTCAAAATCAGAAAGACTCTGTGCCTGCCAGAAAACAGAGGTCTAGCTGGTCAGAGGATGTACCAGCTCGTGGCTAGCCCAACAGAGTACCAGTGGCCAAAGCACCAGTGGTTGGTGGCAGGTGACACTCTGACCTTCAAAGAAAGGCCATTGTCCACAGAATTTAAGTAATTCTCCAGACAGGATCTACATTTTTATAGAAAAGGTATGTGAAGGGAAGGTATTAGGCTTGGGCCTAACATGACAACAAAGAACCAGCCCCATGGCCGCTCACTCAGCTCCCCCCTCACACAC